TTGTTCCTGATTGTTTGTTTGTTTGCTAGTTTGTGGGAAACTAACTTGCAAACAGATCTGAGCAGCAGTACTGCTCCTGTCCAATGCAGACAGAGACTGGGAAAGTTGTCAGAAGTTGTGCCCAGGGGCTGGAAGACACCTCTGCTGTTTCTAACCTCTTTTGCTTTCCTTTTGTTCTTCTGTCTCCCTAGAGATATGGGGTGAGATCTCTGCATAGACAGGTACCTACTACCAGGGCTCAACAGTCTTGCATCTCTGCGCATAAGACCTCCAGCACGGATCACTGCTTACCAGGAGGAACGGCAGGAGAGAGAGGGAAGCACATAGGCACAGCAACTTGAGAGATAGCCGACATCTGCAGAATGCTACCACACTACAAGCGACAGCCCTGGTGCTGCAAAGGTAAGGTGACTTGCACAGTCTTACAAGGGTACATGACTCAATCCCTTTTAAAGCTAACAGCTCTGCCAAGCTGGGGGCAAGGCTGTATACTCTGGGGTGTAGTTACTTCTCACTCAGCAAGCCTGGAGGTTATGCACTAGAGGGGTCATTTCTTCCGTCTCCTTAGGCTTTTGGAGATGGGAGGTTGGTCTCACGTAGCCCAAACTGGGCTTGAACTTGCAGCAATTCTCCTGTCTCACCTTCCTCCATTCTAGGATCCCAGGCATGTGTCATCGGTCTGTTCTGAAAGAGGAAATGGAGAAGGCAGTGGTGACAGAGGGCAAGAAGGGATTCCGCTAGCGAACAGGTCTACGAAGGCTCAGAACCAGGGCTCACTCCCTCTAGGCCACGGTCACATTTGAGCCTATGTGGAGTGAAGCCTCCAAGAACTGGCCATTCTCCTTCCAGGCTCCAGGCCCGGCAGTGGTGCAGCTTTTTTTTTGCCCTGGGCTTCTTCCAGGGGTACAGGGTGGGACTGACCTCTCAAGCCCCCCTCTTTCCTGCCACTCAACTTCAACAGGTAGGAAGTCAACAAAACACCTCCTCCGAAGCCTTCGGTAATCTAGGTAGGGCTGTCGTCAAAGCCCTTCCCCTGCAGCCTTTTGTTAAGCGTCCTAAACAAGTGAACAAGAGCTAAAGAAACACAGCTCCCACCCTGAATATCCAACTTCAATTTCCCTGCTGAGTCACTCTCAGGGGGGATTTGCTCCAGCTGCCTGGGGATTTGTCTGCCCAGTTGGTGGTTTGATCTGCCCCAACCCCTTCTTCCCGTCGCGCAGGTGAGGAAAGTAGGCTCCGAGAGGAGCCATCTTTTGCCCGAAGTCACACAGCGAATGTCCGCGGAGTGGAGGGCAGTGGTGGAATTCCTGGCGGCCCTTGGCGCCCATTTGTCTGCCCGCTTCTGATACCCGGGTTCGGAGAATAGGCCTCTAACAAGCGGCCCATTAGAAGGAATTGTCACTCCTCCGGGAGTGAGGTTGTCCCATTAGGGCGAATTGTCATTCCTCCTGGAGCGAGGTTGTCCTGGCTCCGCGCAGGCTGAGTGCCGGGCCGAGAGCAATTAACGCGGCTCCGGCGCGGGCAGCCGCCTCTGCCCCGGGCAGCGGGGGCGGGGCGCCCGGCGCGGCTGGAGCCGGTCACCCGGCGCAGCCCCTTCCCCCGGAGCCCGCCTTTCATCTCCCCGCGCCTGGCGCCTACCCGCAGCCCTGGCCCGTCTACAGCCTTCTCTGCCCCTCCCCCGGCCCCTCCTAGCCACTGGGATCCCGCGATCCGTCCTCGGGGTTGCAAACGCCCAGGTCGGTGCTCAGCGCTTCACAGCTTGCAACGAGTGCCATCACCTTGGAGTTCGGGGCGCGCTCCCGCGGCTGCTCCCTGTAGGGTCCGGGCTCCTGCGACTTCCATCAGGGGTGTGGGGAACTCGGGAACGTGCAAGCTTAGGCCCAAGGGAAATTCGAGGGTGTCTCACCTCCTATTTGCATGATTGGGCAGCTTCCGAGGCTTTTCCATGGTTAGACAGAGATATAGTCTCAGCCTGTAGTGATGTGTTTGAAAAGCAAATGATATTCTGCTCAAGTTCAGGCTCTTGGGCAAGGTGTAAAGGTGACGCTTCTTGGTGGCTGGATTCTAGTTGGAACTCCTCTTTAACCGCTTCATGTATTAAAGTTGTATATACATTATTCTAATCACCCCGGAGTTAAAAAGTTTACTGCGTGTCTGTGTCCGAGGTGTCAAAAGCCCGTCCTCCGCTCTGGGAAGACACCCAAACCTGCACCTTTTTCAGACTGGAATTTTAGAAAGGACCTGTCTCGGGGGTCGGTGAAGGCCGGTGATGGCTCCTTATTTTCAGATACCTGAGACAAAGAAAGAGTTGAATAAATGATGCTTTTGATACACAAGATTATTTCAAAACTAATTCCCTACACCCACCACTTTATGAAGCCTACTGAAAACTAATTCCCACAAGATCCTTCCGGAGGAATGGCTGCTCTTTACTTCGGAGCCACGGAGATGTGAATAAAATATTCGGAGGGTATGCAAAACTCTGCAGTAGATTGGGGCTTTCCATGATGGGCTAACTCCGTGTTCAGGCTCTTTATGCCCCTGGTCCCCACCCTAGCAGAGTTGGGGAGGAGGCGCCTGGCATGGGGATGCGGATCGCCAGCTGTCTCCTTGGCCATGCGTCCTGTTCATGGCCAGAGCTTGGCACCCTGGAGAGCAATACTAAATATTCCTTTTCTCTCCACTATCTCTCTCTGTGTCTTATCATTTCCCCCAAAATAGTGAGGGAGAGCCTGGGTTTTCCTCTGCCAGAATTAAATGAAAATAAAGGCATTTCAGTGGAATTGATCCCCCTTTTCTTTTTTAAACTTCCTAGGAATCAGCCTGTGACCCTACACGGACATGTTTTTAAAGATGGAGTTTTGGATTATTTATAAAGCATTGGCTTGGTTCAGCCTAACTCAAATGTGAACTTTATTTTACTGTACACTTTGGCAACTGAGGGCTAAACGAATTTTAGATTTGCTTCCAAAATCTATAACCCCACGTCTTGCCCCACACATCGAGAAGACACGGAACTTAATCTGGATTTACCTGTATTGTATTTGAGATTCCTATCATCAGATACGACTCCAGGGAAAATGTACGCATCTCCAGACAGCTGTCATAGTCTTCTGGCTTTCTCTGGGCTTCCAGTCTTAGCAACGACAACAACAAAGTGTTTGGATCTTGTGGTAGGACAAAGTTCCAAAGGTTCTTTTCAGAAGATCGTTTAGAACTTAACTTTTAAAAAGCTTTTCCAAAACTGAACTGAAAATATCTGGTGAAGGCTTTTTGTCTTCTAAGATTATTTTCCCCCTTGGGTCCTTTCAGACCAGTGAAGTTTCACTCCAGCAAACGTCTGGGGCGAAGAACACTGCTTCAGAAGAGTCCCCTGAAAAGAGTTTAAGGCTCTGTAAGTCTAGGAGGTCAAGTTTCTAAACTCCTGAACTGGAAGGTACCTGCCAAGCTTTGGCCGTTTAAACAGTTTTAAACAGTGGTCTTCCCTTCAGTGCTGGAGGAACTGATCAGGAAGCTGTTTCTGGACCTGGGATGAGCAGGATTCTCTTTCCCTCACCACGGGATGGTCTTTTGGATATAGAAAAAAGCTTGCGAGGCCTGAAATGTGTCGTTTGAAGCGATCTGTCTGCTACTGCTGGCTGCAGACTGGGCTCAGAACCATTCCAGGCCTCTGTCTCAAAACTCTCTTCAGTGCCTGGATGCAGCTGGTCACCCATGCTGTAGGACTGTCCTCAATTTAGGGTGGGGCAAGGGTAGGTATGCAGCTTAAAAAAAAATCAAGTCAGGTGAGATGTCCTTTTCCTAAAGATATTCAGGCTTAGAGTTTGCAAACTTGAACCCTGTTATTTCCAAGATTTGCAGGAAGAATAAAGACACCAAGTGTCACAAGTGCCCTTCTCCCCTGCCCATCCTTCCCAAGGCAATGCTGGCACCTGAACCCCAATGGCAGACACAAGCTCAAAAAATACACATTTGCGCTGATCTAGAGAGGAGATTCATGGGGCAAAAAAGTACACGCATTTTCAGTTTCTAAAATTAGTCCTGGAAGAAATGGAGACCATTTGTATAAATTAGCCACTAGGAATCAATGGGTGCCAGGTGTGCTAGCGCACACCTACAATCGCAACACTCAACACTGGCCACTGGAAGAGGTCAGGGTGATCTCGGCAAGTTCAAGACCATCCTGGGCCATGGGCCACATAGTGAGCGACTTCTAAACTACTCCAAGCTGGAGAACAAGAGTCTGTTTTAAAGGAAAAGGATAGGAAAGAAAGGGAAGAGAGGAGAGGAGAGAGATTAGTTGGGCATTCCTTGACTACCTCTCAGCCTCCCTTATCCTAGGTCCCTTTTCTTGAGGCTTGAGTTAAAGTAACAGCTAATGTCTTGGAACACTTTCCAAAGACAAGATGCTTCTAAACATCATGCCTAAACCATTTCCATTAGCAAAGATGCCGGCCACTGTTTTCCACTATAGTTAGAAAGTTACACTAGTCTGGGCTCATAGTAGGAGCGTTATAAAAGTTCCAGGAATGCCATCTGCGGATTTCCACCGTTCTCAGGCGGGAGCGTGTGGGATGGGCACCAGGTACACTTTAAAGAGGGGTTAAAAGACAGAAGAAATGGGACTCGGCAAGCTTCCTCTTTAAACAATCGGCTTTAATTACGCCTTGGACTTTTCAGTTTGGGCGATTATAACCCTTGAGGGATCGCCTAATAACAACTCTGCTGACTGCTCCTGTAATTAACTCCTAATTTATTTCAAACGGGGTGGGGTGGGGTAGAGGGCCCCAGCCTCTCCAGAGAGAACCAATCAGAGGCGAGCGTCCGTGGCGTCAGGAGCAGAGCAGCCGCCAATTGGCTGAGCCGAGTCTCCCACTTCCCCTCCGTGGACGGGCCGGGCTCCCGGCGCGCCCCTGCCGGCTCCCCCCCCAAAAGTTGGAGTCTTGGCTTGCAAGTTGCCAGCGGAGTCGCGCGCCGAGAGCTAGACGGCGCAGAAAGTCATGGCTTCTCCGGCCAAAGGCAGTGACTTGTTTTCGTCAGACGAGGAGGGCCCCGCGATGCTGGCCGGCCCGGGCCCGGGCCCTGGGGGTGCCGAGGGCGGCGTGGAGGAGCGCAGGGTCAAGGTCTCCAGCCTGCCCTTCAGCGTGGAGGCGCTCATGTCCGACAAGAAGCCGCCCAAGGAGTCACCCGTGGTGCCACCTGACTGCGCCTCGGCTGGCGCTGCTCTGCGGCCGCTGCTGCTGCCGGGACACGGCGTCCGGGAAGCGCACAGTCCCGGGCCTCTCGTCAAGCCCTTCGAGACCGCCTCGGTCAAGTCGGAAAATTCCGAAGATGGAGCGGCGTGGATACAGGAGCCCGGCAGATATTCCCCTCCGCCCAGTGAGTGCGCGCCCGGGACCGGACCCGGGGCTGCATCCGCGCGTGGGGTCCCAGAGGGGCTGGGGAGGGGTGTTAACAGGATGATGCTCTTGACCCCTGGGTACCCCAGTTCAGCGAGCGGTCCGCATCCCAGAATCCCTAGCTGCGCGAAGTCTAAGGTACCTGCGCTCTGGCTGGCATTTGAAAACCAAAGCGCAGTTGTTGGTGTCTGCAGTCCTTAGCCCCCTGCTCCGGACTCCTCATGTTTGTGTTTCACTGTCCATCATGGTACCTGCCGGGCGGTAGGGGAGAGTCACTGTTTTGTTTCGTTGAGACAGGGTCCCTTGTGGGCCGTGCTGGCCTCGAACTCTGTATCGCAGGATAGTTTTGAATTCATCCTCCTGCTTTTAAGTGCTGTAATTACTGACTTGGCACGACCACGCTGGGCTGGAATCGACTTCTAATGAGTATCGAGATGTGTTTTACTGACGTTCAAAATAGACAGGCGTCCCTGTGAAGTGAGCCCCACTATAAAGATAAGACAATTGGAGGTTAACCAGACGTGGAGGGGAAATCGTTGGTTTTCTTCGAATTACAGAGTGTCCAAGCCAGATCCTACGAAGGGATGGCGACCGAGACTGATTCGGAAAGGAAGCTGCTCCGTGTTCTAGTTCGTTGTTGATTAGGTTTTGAGTTTTGCAGCGAGCTAGTTAGTTCGGGCCAGACCCTCACGGGCTCTTCTGGGTTCACAGTGATAATTACCAGCATTCCTTCAGAACTTGAGAGTATACAGTGTGGTGCCACGAGTTCACCGGGTTTGGCTGCTTGGTAGAACCTCAGAGTACAGGCAGAGGCATGCCACCTGTGGCTTCGGACATGGTGGCTAGTGCTTTGCTTTTAAGAAGACTGCGCTTGCTTGTCCCAGGCCACCATCCATGCTTGCACTGGGCATGGGGATCTGGTGTCCATGCTTTCTGTGTCCCTCTATCGCTGGGGTCTGGCCATACTGATCTTTTTCACCAACACCCCACCTCCAGTGAGTCTGTCTTGACTGCCTTCCCAGGCTTAGCATCCTTTTAGGGTCCTGGGTCCTTTTACTATTGCCATTTGTCAGGCCCACTCCCTGCAGCTTTGTTTAGTTTTATCTTTTGGCCTTTGAGATTTATCTGCTCTGTTGCCTTTTTTCTGTGCCGTACCCCTCACTAAACTTTGGGAGAGTTGAGAAAGGAGGATTGTGGAGGGACTTTCCGAGCTCAGCTGGAAGAGAAGCTGCCTGCATTTTCCCCTTTCAGCCTTCGGGACTAGAGCTACAAGGTATTTTGTGAACAAAACAAGACCGTAGACCCAGGCGTCAGTGGCTGTCCCCTCTGGCAGTCTCTCTCCACCCTGTTGGAAATTCTGAAAGGCTGAAAGGGCCCAGAGATTAAGGACTTAAAGAATTTAACTCAAGTTTGCACAGCGCTTTTCACGACATTATCTTATCTGATCTCCTTTGTGAGGCGGTAGAGAGCCTCTTGTTAACAGATGAGGACACCTCTTAGCAGGGTTCAGAGAGATCAGCAGTTTGGGCCCCTGAAAAAGCTCTCGGGAACATTTGCTCATCACCCCCTAAGTGGAGTTCTGGGTCCTCCAAAACCGAGTCCTCCAAGCCACCCCAAGGGATAAGTAATATTTATCCATTTTATTGACATTGAAATGGAGGCTCAACAAGGTGAAAAGTCTTAACTTGTTTAACAAATTTAGAGTGCCTGTGTATTGCTAGGCCCTAGGGCAATGCCCCACAGCACTTCCAGGATTCCAGCCTTGAAACAGGACGGTGGCCAAAGGTCAGAAATCTGGCATACTTAGGCCTGGGGATCTAGGAGAGCAGTTTCCCCACCAGCCCTGTAACTTCTCTGCAGTGGGCTGTGCTCCCTGTCTGCCATAATAGCTTTTTATAAGAAACTCAGGGATCTCAGAGAAGGTTTCATTTGAAAGCATAGGACTTTTTGGTACTTGGGGTCTGGAAGTGTCAGCAGGATGGGCCCAGAGAGTATCGAGAATCATCTGGGAGCGGGAGCAGGAGCTGGAGGGATTGACCAACCCTGGTTCTGGTTTTGTTATTTGGAGAAAGTAGGCTGAATGTTGTTTGCCTTGTGTGATCACATGCTTTCTTTGGCTGATAAAACGGTAGGTGTGGGGGGAACATACTCATTTCATGGCTTTGCCACATACGCACAGTCCTCAAGGCCTGGACTTTGCAATTCTCCACACCACAACAAGAGTGACCCAAGCTACCCGGTTCAAATCTCCTCTGGGGAACTGGCAGCAAGTGAGTGCCTTGAAGTTTGGAGTCTGAAGGGAGCCTGGGTAGGCTTGGGAAGCTCAGGATTCCAGCCTTGGTGTTTGTTGGCTTGAGAGTGAGGAAAGCCCCTTCCCCTAGGCTCTCTTAGGGATTAGCATATGCAAAAGCAGGGCCTTTTTTGAAGTCTCTTATTCAGTTTTCTCCGGGGTTTCTGTTTTCTGACCGCAGAAGCTGCCACTTTGTAAAGTGACGGGCTAATACCGTGACACTGGGACCGAGGCTGGGTTGGGACTTGCGCTGTGTCACTCTCAAGTATGAAGTGTAAATTCTTCTTTGGGCCACCAAAGTAACTAAACAAGAAATGTTACATTCCCCTGCGAAGACACAGGAGTTACCAGCCTGGCTACATTAGAAAAATTAGAATAACTTGTAAATGCCAAAAGTAGAAAAATAATTGTTTAACATTCTATTCTATTCTCGTCACTTTACACTCCTCCCCTAGCCCGGAGGGAAACAAGACCAGAATGAGTTGAGTGGCTGCTGTGGAGTCACCTTTAGGCCCCATGCTTGTGTTTCCTAAAGCAGCCCATTTTAAACGGAGTCTGGACGCTGTGGCCAGGTCTTTATTTTGCTTGTTATTCCCCACTTCTAAATTCCAACAACAAAATAATCATTTACACATTTGCCCTAAACCATGAAATGGATGAAAGAGACAAAGATGCCATCGTCAGGGGCTCAGAGTTCAGAGGCAGAGGGATTTCTCTTGACATGTCCATTTATGAGCCAGCTAATTCCCCCCCCCACACACACACACCTCCTTCTTAGTAAAGTTTATACTGCCAAAGCACACAGCCAAGAAACGGATTCCACATCCAGATCTGTAAAATGATGTTGGGGTTTTATAATCTGTAGGGTGGATGCAGTGACAGCTGTGTGGTTGTTTATTGCTTAGATCTGCCTGTCCATCCGTGGATGCTATTATAATACCGCAGGCCTTATCTCCATGATTATCCTTCATAAACAGGCTGGTGCAAGCCAGCTTCTCTGGTTCAGAGAGCGGTCCAAGGCTGACCCAGCATCTAGCACCCTTTTCGTTTTCCTCCTGATGTGTGCATCAGTGAGAACAGGCATGTGTTCAGGCCCCCATTTTAAAGACAAGAGATTGAATTCTGAGGAAGTTTTATGTCTTAGATAATGCTCAGCTCCTGTGACTTACAGACGGCTTTAGTCGTGGTTTCTATTTCCATTTTCTACAGTGCAATATGTTTTCCATATAAAAAGTTTCATGACCACATTACTCTAGCTGATATAAAAATATAGCAACTACCATTTAAATGTGGTCCTTTTCCACTCTACTACACACACACACACACACACACACACAGATTTGACAAAGGTACCTTTTTGGATAATGAGCCAAGGTTTATGTGTTCTCTTAAGAGAGGAGAGAATGGCACAGTTGCTAATTGGTTCCCCTCTCTGTTCTTTAGGACACATGAGCCCCACAACCTGCACCCTGAGGAAACACAAGACCAACCGGAAGCCACGCACGCCCTTCACCACATCCCAGCTTCTAGCCCTGGAGCGCAAGTTCCGCCAGAAACAGTACCTCTCCATTGCAGAGCGGGCCGAGTTCTCCAGCTCTCTGAACCTTACAGAAACCCAGGTCAAAATCTGGTTCCAGAACCGAAGGGCTAAGGCGAAAAGACTGCAGGAGGCGGAACTGGAAAAGCTGAAAATGGCTGCCAAACCTATGCTGCCCTCAGGCTTCAGTCTGCCCTTCCCCATCAACTCTCCCCTGCAAGCAGCATCCATTTATGGAGCATCCTACCCCTTCCATAGACCTGTGCTTCCCATCCCGCCTGTTGGACTCTATGCCACGCCGGTTGGATATGGCATGTATCATCTATCCTAAAGAAGACCAAATGGATAGACTCCGGGATGGATGTTTGCATGAAAGCATTCCCCTCCCTCTCCTAGAAGGTGGTGCCAGTCCAGCTCCTGAACACAAACCTTGCATCGCCACCCTAAGCCACAGGGCCCACAGGGCCGCTTGATACAGAGTGACTTTGTTATTTAGGTGAGAGGCACCAAGACCTGTTTTGTTTTCATAATCTTCCAGATGCCCCCCTTTCCTCTCACAAATATTGGCTCTGCTAGTTTTTATGTATAAATATATAATAAAATATAAGACATTTTTATATGCCAGATGTAAAAATTCAAGTTATTTTGAAAGGCAAAATTTATATATACATTTATCCGTTTTTCTAGATAGCATCTTCTTAAAATACTGTGTTAAGTTTGCTACATTTTCTTAAAGGGAAAGAGATTATTTGCAGAATTTGCTAGAATTTGGGAGGATGGTGGGCCTTCTTATGGAAAGCATACCAGAAATAGGCACAGAGCATATAAGAAGTAGATTCAGGTAGATTCTTACAAAGGAAGGGAGGTGTGTACCTGTTTGCCTTTTATGTGCATAAGGACGATCCCTTGCATACGATCCTATTTTCCTTCCTTTTCTCCATAGTAACTCTTTTTGTTTTATTAAGGTCAGTGAGAGGAGGCTCAGAATAACCCTGAGAATTCCTCAGGGTCAGGTTGCTAATAGGAAACCTTCCTAACTCCAGTCAGGTCTGTCTTTACTCCGGTCCAGGTAATTGGCCTTAGAAAGAGTTTAAAGGGTAAGCGTGTTTGGAAGAACTGATTTCTGTGAAATGCACAGTCCACCAGTCCTCACGTTGCAGAGGTGATTGGGGAGGATATCGTAATGGTCTGCTTAAAAACCAGTGTCTTGTAACAGTTTTCTATATTTTCAATGTTCTTCAACAATCCATAGAATCAGGAAGGGAAAAAAAAAACATGGTTTCATTGTGTGTGCTTACTGTATGTGCTAAACTTATTAGGGAAGTTTATATGCTCTAACATGTTGGGGGCAGAGGGTGAAGCCGTCTTATGGACTTGCTGAAAATGTTGTCAGACAACACAGTCGGCTCCTTGGTATTTACCGTCCTGTCCATCTCTTCCAGTATATTTTTAGCCATCGAAAGGGTATCTTGTATAATTTTATATATTTTATTGAAGAGTTATTTCTTATCTCTTACTCTGAATTAAATTAAAATGTTTTATTGCAGTAAAGTCTGTCCCAACTCACAGTTATTTTTAAAAAGTAGTCTATTCTTAGCTAGATTGGGGGAGAGGCATCCAGATAAGTGGGGGGAGAGCTGGCACTTTTAATTCCTCCATTAATGTAAATCAGATCGAGTTGTGACCAAATTTGGGTGCTAGAGGAGTCAGCAGGTCCTGGGACATTTGGAAATAATCAGTTGGCAGCCTGTATGGCTCAAGGAGAAGCTGTTGAAATCACCATTCAAAGTTTATCATGCTGCTCTAAAGATGAGTTTTTCAAAGTGGTGAAACAGTGCTCCCCAGACTCCTCCTAGTCTGTAGATGGCCCTGGGAAAATCTTGAACTTGGAAGTTTGTAGCCACCGAACCAACTCAAGTTGAGGCTTTTACTGCTCGCTCTGTGCTGGTAGGACGAAAGAGCTCGCGGGGTTGAGAAGCCTGAAAAGGATGCGGGGGAGGGGTTGTGGGGCGGGGTTCCCTGTACTGTTGTCTCTCAAGGAGATGGACCCCAAATGAGCACAATTTTCTATTTGAAGAGGGCGACCCTGCCCATCTATCCCCAAAGAACTTAGATGCCCTCCCTGCATCAGGCTTGGGGTTTGAGGCATAGTGATAAAAATCAGAATAAAGGTGGGGGAAGACGGAAGAGGATTTAAAACTCAGCTTTCTGTTGTGCTGGAGATGCCTTTCGTTCCCCCCCCCCCCCCCCCCCGAGATGCTTCTGTCACCTTGGGAACAGATGAGGGGCTTAAGAACGCAGTGTAGGACTGTGTGGTAGAGAGTGGGGCGCTTTCCGGGAATTGCCAGTGCATGGTACTCACCTTGGAGGTAGCACCCGAAAATCCATGTTTGTGAGCCCGAGGCTCATCATGGTCATGGTGGCCGGGCCCCTTTCCTTAGATCCAAACCTATCCTGCAAAGGCTGGAAGTTGGAGATTGGCGTCCTGCCGCCTGGTTATCGCCCTCAGCTGAGCCGCCGGCGGGTCCCAGGGCCACCAAAATGCGTGCTTCTCCTTCTTTTTCGGCCTTTCGCTCCCCGAAGTCCAAAATTCCAGACAGAAATCTGCCACACGTATTTAAGAGATGCATTTCCCAAAGTCCAAAGCCCTTCCTGGTTTCGTCATCAGCTGCCAAGGGGTCCCTAATTACCCTGTCCACCCCGCTTCCTTTCCGGCGCCTCATGGACCGGTAACCTCGGGCGGTGATAGCTGGGTGGGGATCTGGAGACACCGGCCTCTGGGTTAAGGCTCAGCTTGCCTCCGGAGGTAAGGTATTAAGTCCGGAGTTTGATTCCAAGAACCTGGTCGGACAAGTGGGGTAAACTGGACTCTGGCTGCCTGGGCACCACGTACGTGACTCCAGATGCAATACTCAGAATGAGAAGCCATGAAGGGTTGTTCTGGCTCAAAAGTTAACGGGGTTCAGTGCTTCTGAGTGGACAGGCTTTTCCCACTGAGGATGGCGAGGGCAGACATGCCCTGTGCTCTGGGCGGCTTACCCCCCTCTTGTCTAGGTTGGGTCTCACCTCTGTCAGGCCTGGTCCTTCGCACCAGGTATTTCAGAGCCCAGACTGGCAGCCTGAGAAGGCTAGAAGACCTTCCCTGGCCCCGGACCCACACCCGCAGAGACTATGGGAAATTTAAACTCCAGGTACTTTTGAGAAGTCTTTGGTCATCCTTTCATCGACTGCCAGTAACCCGGCATACGAATACACCTGCCCTTCCCTACTTGAAAGCTTTCACCAAAACAAAACAACAACAACAAACGCTTTGCTTTTTAAAATAGGGGGAAAGGACAGGAGTTTGCATTTATGGAGCTGAGGAGCCAGTATTTAGGGTCGATGGGGGCGCCTTTCTTGAACCAGTGTTCGGCACACATCCTTCGGTGAGGTCACAGACAGTCGGGAAAACTGATGCCCAGAGAGGTAGCTCGCTGAGGTCACAGATGACAGCGATGGCTGGGGAATCCAGTTGAAGGGTGAGCTGAGGAGGTGGTGACCGAAGAGGTGGCCTAGAAGGACGCGCTCAGAAAGCCGGCGGGTATCTGAAGGGCCAGCTTTGGAGTTCTGCACCGACTCCGGTCCCTCATTGCTGAGGGGCTTCCGCAGGGCATCTCCACCCGCCCTGGGGACCCAGCCCGCCCCTCCCCCTCTCGGTCCTGCTTTGGTGACGCGGGGGCAGGGGCCGTAGGAGGTAGGCCGTGGAGGCCTGGCTGAGAGCGGGAACTGGTGAAACGTCTGCCTGACCCGACTGAAAAGAGGATGCCTGCCTTTGAGCGCAACCTTGTCTGACCGAATGAAAACTCCCACGGCCATTCTTTGCTATGAAAGCCTCTCATTTGCCACGGGTTGGAGAGGCCATTGCTCCACCCCCATTCCTTTTCCACCGCTGGGCTGGAAATAAGCATAAACCTCATTTATAAAGGAACCCACGTCACACACACACACACCCTCCCCAAAATCACAGGGCCTAGTTGGGGAAGTCGATTGTGCCTGCTTCCCCTTTCATGTAAGAACAACAAAAAAATCCGAGATTGGTGATGGTACAGGCCGCTTTAATGAAATAAAGTAGTCACGGCAAGGAGGAAAAGGCTCCTGTCAACCTCCAGGCCCCGTTACCCGCCCCTCACCCCCAGACACCCTCTCCCTCCACCCTCCCGGAACAAAATGAACAGCAGTAAAATGGCTTTCTGGAATAGCCCGCTTCAAAGCAGAGCGGAGGACTCGCTGCCGACTCTCAATACTGCCCCGATAAGGTCCTAATAGCCGAATCCAAACTCTATACACCTCTGACTTTTCCAACCTCCTCCAACCTCGCTGCATTTGTGGAGGAAAACACTTTGATGTCCTGAGTCCTCCAAACAATTATTATTATAATTTTAAACAACCTGGTATTTTCCATTACTAACGGCTCAAGCTTTGAAGTTACACCTCATAATTTCCTAAATTAAATAAATCATTTTAAGTTTGCACTGGGAGGCTTTTAATAGCAGAGAAAGGAATATCATTATCTTATTGAGACCCAATTGTGGTGGCTCCAGCTTGGCTGTAGCTGGGGGCAAAGCAGACCTAGTCTAACAGACATACTTTATTAACCTCCCATAACTCTTGAAAGAACAGTTTTATATTTTCTTTGATTTCCCCCCTCCCTCTCCTATTTTAAAGCTGTCCCAACCTTTAATTAGTGCTTAATATGAAAAGCATTATTTTTTTAATGCTATGTAATTTACCAGCGGCAACAGGCCAACTTAACAATTGTTTATTAGACTTGGTTTTTCACACAGGGCAAAGAATGCCGCTCTAAACCCAACTTTTCATGGGTGGTTGCACTAATTAATACAGTGTCTGAAGCTCCTAGGGTTTTTTTTTAATATTGAAGCATATGAGGGTGGAGGGGGGTTTTCAGAGTTTCAGCTCCTGCAGACGACATTCCCTGATTTCTTTCATGCTGTTTTGTCCTGTCTGTGAAGTTAACACAGACAGAAGCTGTTCCCTGGCTCCCCAGACGCTGAGATCCCAGCAACAGCAAGGGAACCCTGGGCACCTCAACTTGTGATTTATGACTTTTGAGGCCAGGCTTGGAGGCTCAGGGGGGTCCATTGCTCCTTCCGAGCTTAGGGTGGGGTCGCCCCTCATCCAGCCTTCAAGGGTGCAGAACAAACCTGATGTCTTGGTCTGGGCCAAGCAAGTGCCCGGATGGCCTGGGCACCAGAGAGTGCTTGATGTTGGGCATAGAATTTGCTGGGGTGAGGCAGGAACTGGGGAAAAGGGGTGGGATGAAGGACAAGCTGAGACCCAGGTCTGTCGCCCTGCCATCGATCTGACTCTTGGCTTCCTTCTCCTTCCTCGTTCTTTTGTCTTATTTCCCTTTCACGTCTTCTGTTCCTCTCCCACTCTTTCCCCCTCCTTCTTTTTAATATTCCCCTCCTTTATTTTTCACGCCCATCCCACTTTATGTCTCGTTAATTTTTCCTGTCTCCGATTTGTTTTGAATGCGCTCATCCTGGTAACTTCTCCCTCCCTCTCTTTTCTTCCCTCCTCCTTACAGATGTCATTGCTCCTGCGTAGCTCTCCCAGAGTTTCCCACACCCTCGTTTTCTAAATTAGTACCATCCCCACCCTCTCCTCTTGCCCTCTTCTTGCTTCCAGTTTTTCTTCTATCCCAGCAGCTCGGAACAGGCGGATGTCGCGGTCCGGAGCTGCTCACTCAGCGTAGGGTGGCTCGATTCTGCTCTGCGCTCTCTCTTGGGGGCTGCACCTGGCTAGCCAGCCTCTGATCGACCCTGGCGCGGGAAGGGGCCAGGACTCAGGGCCAGAAGGACAGAGTCCGGGAGCGAGGCCCCTCCCGCCCCTCCC